CGGAGCGCCGCTCGCGTGGCCAGTTGCCCTTGGCCCCCTCGTGGTCAAGATGACCACTCATGATTGACGGAGGGGCAGCCTGGGCCAAACCCTTGGAATCCCCAGGTTGCCCACAGAGTGAAGTGCCACAAACACAAAACGCATCGCGAAGGCTGTGTGTGTGTACGTGTGTGCGTGTGTCCATGCGCGTGTGTGTACCTTTCTGTTTGTGTCTGTGTGTTTCTCAACGCCAACACTGGCGGAACGAAGCACGGCTAGGAGGGTGCTAAAACCTACTTTTCCTGCACTCAAAGCAGCACTCACCTTGACCTTCCTTCACGTCGCGTCCGTCTTGGAAAGCCACAAACAACACTGTCACAATCATACATGCGTACAAAATTTAAAAAAAAAAAAAATTCCCCAGCCAGTTATATAAGGCAATCAATTAAAAGTATTTTAATCACTGTTATTAGTTACGATGTTAGTAGCTTAAACTTCATAGGCGAGATCAAATGTTCGGTAACTGCAACGGTAAGTCAGTTGCATTTTGAAGTACCTTATAAATTAGTTCACCGGTTAATTTTTTAAATTTACGGTGGCAAATATACAAATACGAGCTAAATTCTCAGAGTCCAACTCGGCGCTGAGTTCTGACTAAAAATGGTATTGTTATAACTACATTTGATCATCATAAACTGAAGTATGTATACACGAATCTCAGCGCGCCTTGAAGTCGTAACATATTTTAAGAGTTATTGCAACATGATAGTTAATTACATTTTGTGAGTAATCGTGGCTCATGTACATCTACAAGAATGTAGCTCTGTTTGTAATTCAGTTACATTTCACATCAAGTTAATTTAACTGCATATAAATTACTCCTCGAAAGTAACACATACATACCTACCCACAATATTTAAACAAGGCTGTTATTCTGGCTCATATCCTAGTATCTAGTTCACTGCGGTTTTATTTTTGTTTATTTATTTATTTGTAATTATACCGCAATTCCAGTAGCATTATTACTTCGTCAAAAAATATTGCCATCGTCGTTATCAATATGTTTGGAAACGGCATCGTGTCACTGATAAAACATGCACACCTGCTGAAGTTCTCTTACAACATCAAACTCTATTGAGAAATAAGTGAAGTAGAAAACTCATGTCAACAACAACATAATATCCCAGCAATATCCAAGAGGTGTGTACACTTTTTTTTTTGCAATATCTAGAAGGTAAAAGTGACCACATATGCATTAAAAAATGAATATCTTTTCGTTATTCTTATACTGAAATAACTACAGGTTTTTTCGCTCATTTTAGTCTAAGCGACGAAAAATTTAATCCAAGTGCCACCCAATTTAATCCAAGAGACACATAATTTAATTTATATTTATATTTATTAGGTATTGCATACAACTGGCACTGTTGATGTTTCTTATCCTTGCTTCCTGTGTGATCATTTTGACGCTCATATCTCCACCTAATATAACCTCACCGAGCTCAATATTTGTTAACCACCTCTGCAATGACGTTATTGTCACTAACAACTTAAAAACTAAAAATAAAACGCCGGGTATGGCTAGTCTCGGTCATTTTATTATCGTCCTGTACCCAGGAAGAGTGTGGCATTATTCCGATATGAACGCTCAGTAACAATTCACAAAGCAAGGGGCGTGACCATGATACATTACCACCTTCGTTTCTTTAGCTATTATGTTCAGTTCAAAAGCACTGCTCTTCTTTTCTTCTCCTTCTTCTTCTCCTTCTCCTTTTTTTCTTCTTATTTCTAATTCTTAGTTACGATATAGTGGGCTGAAAGCTCTAATCTGCTGTGGCTTGACCTTATAAGCGTCAAACAAAAACGTTCAGTCCCCCACATTCATAAGGAATAGTTTTCCTACTTGAAGTGCTCGTTAAAAATACTTCAGCTAATAAAAAGAGCTTCTGAAACATTGCCCGCAATTCAAGTTTTAGTTTGCACTTTTTTTAATCTCGTTTTTTTCATGATCGCTACAATCTAAAAAATCTGAAACGCCGCCTACTTTTCAACGAAGTTTTGGAGAGCATACCGCTGCACGTTTATCTTTGTGCAAAACCCTTCGTATTTTTTTTTAATTTTAATCTCGGATAGATTTATATAAAACTATCCGTTTGTATTTTTAACATGTAAAAGTCAACCATTGTTTTACAGTATGTGTTAACCGTGTACCCGTATGATAAATATGATTCCTTCTTTTCGTTAACTTGTAAAATTCGTTAGGTTCAAACATGTATTCTACACAATGATATTTGCAAACATGTACAGTTTTTTTTTGCTATTTTTTTTATTAGTAGGTCTTAATTTTGTTAGTCGCCTTTATCCCAGACCGGTACGGTGTGTAAATATAATAGAAACGAAACACACGGCTCGAGTTTGACGCTTGTAAGATCAAGCTGCAGCACTTTAGAGCTCTTAGCTCACCATACAGAAGCCAAGAAATAACAAATTACAGGAAGATATATTAGTGGATTCTTAGGGAATGTTTCAGCATGACCCTTGGGAACGCCACACATGTCCCCTTTTGGAGAACGCTAACACTCGCTCCTTCACTCTTCTCTTGTGGCTTTCTCTTGTGCTTCCTTTATTTTTTGCTGCCTCTTCTTGGCATCGTTACGCGGTCAGTGTTAGCGCTCCCCAAGGGGGGACGTGTATGGCGTTTCCAGGGGTCATGCTTACGCATCCCCTATGAATCCACCAGTTGATCTTCCCGTAATTTTTTTTCACCCCTTTTCTGTGCTCTGACTGTCAGAGCACGTTGACGCCCTTGGATGCGGTCATCCATATCCCTCGCGTAAAGAGCCACTTGCACACTACTCCTGGAATAAACCGTATCCATATCACTCGTGGAGTGAACCACCGCCATCGTTTTAACTGCACATTCACATACATCACGGCCCACGCACCGGTACTACGGAAACCCAGAGCGAAGAACAACCGGCGACGGCAGTGCGGCGTCGCCGGATTTTACACCGCGCCGCAGCGAAGCCGTAGTGCTGAATGAGATGGTGTCATCGGAGGAGGCCAACGCTGGCCACACATTGGACAAGACGATTGGGTCAACGTTCGGCTCAAACTTAACTCAAAACAGAGTGCTGACGCAGCACTCTTTTTCAATCTCTGTCCTGCGTTTGCCTTCTTTGATGACGCCATCTCATTCAGCACTACGGCCCTGTTTTCATTAGGTGTCGTGCGGCAACTCCTCTCTGGCTCCGCGCCAGCTGTGCGCGTGACTTCGACGAAATCAAAAGAGCTCGCTTTGACGAAAACCCGGTGGTGTCTGTCAGTTTGTCAGCGCCGGGGAGAGAGGATGAGATTGACGCGTGCTGGCGTCAGAGCTCTGGACCAATGGGAGCGTCACACGCGTAACACTATACCCTCCTTCCTATCTGCCCGATGCTGACAAACGAATGACACCGCCGGTTTTTCGTCGAAACGTGCGTTCTAATGCTAATGCATTAAAGTGAAGTGCAAGAAGTAGCGCTTTTAATGTGAAATGCATGACCAAAATATATCGAGTCGCTGCGAGGTCGGCTCGCAATTACAATCGGTGATAGCTGCAAAAAGGCTGAACGTGACAAGATGAAAGTATCTCATAGCTGCGCAGCTAATAAGATTTCGGGACTGGCCGCCAAGAACGCCGAAAAATAATTTGCGGAAGAACCAACGTGAACATACTAAGTCACTCCCTGCGTTTCCCAGCCTCTTGAAGACTGTAATGGCTGACTCACGTAGGGCTATTCTCAACGAATTTACGCGCGTTTTAGCGGGCGTAATTGCGGGATTTGCCGAGCGCTTTTTTAACAGAAGGGAAGAGGGGAAGCTCGCCAAACCACACACGACGCTTTTCGTCGACGTCTCCTCGGCGTTTGTTGCATTGTAGCCCGACTCGCGCCTTTCATGAAGGGAGGCAAAATGTAGATAGGCTGCAATTTTATTGCGTTCCGCGAGGAGACAGAAATAACTGAATGTTAATAAGCAACCAAAGCCTGATTTGCTTACACCTGTTTCAAAAAGGTTCGTTGCAACCGTCAAGTTGCCAAAAACTCCCGGCAGGAGGACGGCCGCGATCTCTGCTCAAAGCCCTTCCTTTTGTAATTCTTTTCACATCGCCCGCAACATCGATGGTATTTCTTCTGTCTCAGTCGTTCATCGCTCTTCCCAAAGAGATATAGCGATTTTGTACAGTTCGCCGATAAACCGGCGAACGCGACAAGCGAGCTCCCATTTCGGCGGCCGAGTCAAGTCAGTCAGCCGGCCGCATAGCTAGGCAAGCCGATTCTCGAGCGACTTCCGGCTCTCAACTCGGGAGCTGATTGGCCAGCACCGCGCCGCACGCTTCCGGATACGCCACGCCGAAACACGCCGATGCGCCGGGATCTGTCTCGGTCGGATCGCCGAATACGCGCGTATTTACGCCGACCTCGCGGAACCACTCGTCCCGACGCTCGCTGTACGTCGGGATTACGCCCGCCAAAACGCCCGCAAATACGCCGTATGTGGTTCGGGCTTAAGTACTCAGCAACCACTCTGCCAGCAGTTAATAAAAGGGTTTCTCTTTTTTTTTACAGATTTTTCTTGCCCATGCCAGCGAGCGCTGAAGAGAACCCGGCAAAATTTATCTCTATGTTGACGGGCTACACAGTTGAAGTGTTCCGTCGAAGTAGAGTATTTAGAAAGGATAATTAGTGAATATTATGTCATTGGTTTCATAATTATATTACCACAAGGGTGAATTGACGTCCGTCAAGGCCGATCATGTCATTCTGAGAGATTTGTTTTCCGCTATGTTAAGCCTTTTTTTTTTTCTTAATATTGAGCAAAAACTTTAATAATTGGTGTTACCTTTTAGGCGTGCAAAACAAAATCTGTTTAAAACGTGCTAGAAGCGAATCTTTTTTTCTTTTTGGAAGGCATGCGTCAACACTCTAATCACTTGTACGCGTCGTAGCCACGATTCATACTTGCGGCCTTGAGTTCATTTAACGTCTTCGGCGTCGACGTCGGCGGCGTTCTAAGGCGCAAGGCTTGGGTTCCTTGTTACCATCTTCTACGATCCGATTACACGTCAGGCCCATCATGTCTTTTTGTGCTTCACTGTTGACATAGCTGCCCTTGTCCCCGTCAATGATGACCAGAGGAACACGAGTCACCACACTCTGGTAAGACCACGTCGCTCTGGCAACCTGGAGCTCGTACTCATCACCGTGTTGCTTGACGCAGGCTTCTATAAGGCTCCATTGGACGCCGTTGGCTTCGACGCATCCCTGTCCAGCGAGGTGGGGAGATAAGTAATGGGACATGCAAGCGACGATTCGGACGGCAACCAAGGTTGTCTTGACAACTCTCAGCATACAGGTTTCGATTTGGTTTCCTATGCATTCGCTTGGGCCGTGGTGACAGGAGATCAGGGCCGTAACCAGGGGGGGGGGTTAGGGGGTTCTGACCCCCCCCCCGAAATTTTTTTCTGGGTACGGCCCTGGTCAGTGCACTTGCAGCCAGCCGATTTTAATCTCCACCTCTGCGCACGCGCAGTGGCACCGGTCGGCTACCGGGTACCAAACCGGGACCGGTTCTTCGGTTTGCTATAACTCTCCATTATATGCCACCGATGCACATGATTCATAGGCGAAAATAAGACAAAATGGCCGCCGTTGTCCCCGAAACCCCCCCCCCCCCCCCCCCCCGAAATTGTTTTCTGGGTACGGCCCTGCAGGAGATTGTGGTAACGTTGTGACCCTTACCGTCGGTTTCATTTCTGACGAGCGCCTTGCCGAAGGGCAGCATGGTGAGCATGATGTAGGGAAAGAGCTTGGAGTAGGTCGGCAGCAACTGTGCGTAAACGAAGTCTCTGCTATAGGGGCAGAGTGACTCGTAGACCACAACTATCGTAACCTGCTTGTTAACGCTAGCTGAAACAAAGTAGTCTGCTTTGACGACGGAATCATTGGGGTTCGCGATTTCAGTCTGGTTCTTTCCCGAAGTGGAAGAAGAGGTGTCGCATTCCGTTGGTGGATGGCACCCGTCGTCACTGCGATAACTTTCTACATTTCTTGATTCAGGTTCCGTCGAGTCTTTAGTGAGGGAGGCACACATACCTGAAGGCGGACCGTGACGCAAATACATCACAGTCATTCCAATAAGAAACGAGCGAAGGCGGGCACGTTTCATCGTTATTCCACGAAGCGCAGACGACGTTCGAAACTGTGTGCTTACAAGCAGGTGTTCGTCCGCTCAAAAAGCCGAAGGACAATGGTTACGCTGTCAAGAGAGGCTTACATCCTCGACAAGGGACGAAACAAGCATGCGAAAAAGAAGCGGCATCAAGTGTCGCGGCGATCCTTGGAAGTCACAAAGTAATTGTGTCATGTGTGTCTATAAACAGCCGGAAGTTAGTCTGCCCCAATGGGCGTCGGATACTTCAGCTCTATACTCCGCGACAACTTTTCTTGGCAATGCAGTGGAAGGTACAGGCCCGCGTCCCCTCTCCCATTTTGAGTGCGCGCGGGCTCTCCTCCTCTCCCCGGAAATGGGGGAGGAGGAGAGCCCGCTTCGGCGGGCTCTCCTGGCTTTCTGCATGAAGGCAGAAAGCCAAATAATGTCTGGTGTAAAGGTTAAAATATAAACGTCGCAGTTATACGCTGTTCTATAAATTTGTTTAAATGGACCGAGCAACGATACTGGTCTGAAATGTTTCTCGCTTTACCCAAGCTTACTAGGTCGACCAAAGTTTACTCGTACTCAGCGCCATTCTCCAAAATACTTTTTTTATCCATTTCAAAATGTGATGACGTGGTCGTGGGGACCGTAGTGTTGATGCAATGGCGGGGATTGCCTCATTGTGACGAAAGGCAAATGCGGCTCATTCATCGAACACAAGCACTTCATGAGAACTTATTTGGGCTGGTGAGAGTCAATACCTCAAAGAGCATTGGGGGAATCGGTCTGATAGAGAGTTTCATTATAGGTGTCCCGAAAGCGTGAGTGCCCCTATCCTAAAACTCCCTAATGTCGGTAATAGCCGAACCCTAGCAATAAAAAGTTTTAGAAGAGGGGTTCCCGACACCTTGGGTACCCCGAGCTGCCGGGGATGTCGAACTAACTAAGCATGCGAAGTGCCAATGAAGCTAATATTCTTGGAGAAGAAGAACAAAGGAGACTAACCAAAACACAAATCTTCAAATACAGATAGGTGACTGCAGCGTGACCAAAAAAACAGGCGGATTTTTTCGGTCGTGCACCAGTAACCTAGCTGTGTTTGGAGATTTGTGTTCCTCCTATGTCCTCTTTATTCCCCTTCTCCAGGGATTATTTCCGTCAATCTTTTCCAGCTCGCTTGCACGTTTGCATGAATTGCATTATAACCATAATGCGAGGTGCAATGGCCCAAACTGCTCGGGGAGGCCCAAGCGGCCTAACGTGTGGAACTCAGCCCCGTGTCCTGTGATTGATCAGCCCTGGCGCGCGTCTCTATAACCAACGCTGACGGCATTGAATCGGCACCGGATAGCGTGGCTTCTTGTTCGGGCTTTGAGGTGAGCAGATGGACGCTGCCCGTTTTTCTCTGATGATTTCTGCGACTTCCAGGACGTCTGGATAATAACTAGAACGTGTTCTACAGATTAGAAATGTCGAGGATTCATTCCAAGTGGTATTTAGCGAAAGTACAACACGCTTTGTGCCGCGATCGCACCTCTAATGCATCATACAAAAGACAATCTACCGACGGTGTATGAGCTTCGTGTCTGTTTCATCTATGTCGGTCCTCTCGCATTAGTCACACAAAAAGCTGTCTCAAGACAAGTTCGAAGGATACGTATGTATGAAGCGAACGTCCTTCGAAGATGCTTCAGGTCTGTCCGAGGACAATTGTTTGAATTTCTTTCATCGTGTCTGCAGTGATGAACACCGTGTATTTTGTGTGATGTACGAGTATATGACTGCGACTTTGAGAAGTGTATACTTTTCAGAAATAAAACGGCGGCTGAAGGATTGCATTGTACACCATTAAGAGAAGCCCGCAATCTATCAATGGGTGAGCCAGTGATATGTGAGCTAATTGAGATGCCTGAGGCCACGAGATATGATAACGAGAGAGGACTGCATGTCTCCAAGAGGGATTTTACAGCGTAAGAAATTGAAAAATGTAATGTGAATGAGAACTCAGAGTCGTGAAATATCTAGTGCCTTGATAAAGGCGTTATGAAGGTTCGCAATAAAAGCTTGGGAATCAGTGGAAAGGAACAGAATTATCGACAACCTATATGTCAACATATCCGGAACGTTTAACAGTGTCTGTTCTTTACAGGGGACAAGAGGGTTAGGTTCTGTCAGAATTCCAAGCGGTACGTTATCAACCTAGATATCAGCAACAGTATAAATATCTAAGAGGTTTCAAATATATTCAAGACGACTGGAAAGTCGCCTTGACTTCTCTTCGTCTTTCAGTGTTGCTCTTCTATTGTTGAAGCACTATGGCCACTCAAAACACCTCGCACGAATCATGTTTTTTTTTTCTCCCCATAACCCTGCCAATTGACTGAAAACGTTTTTGTTTCAGATTTTTCAAGTTTAACGTAAAATTTATGTTCGCTCTTCGCCATGGTTTGCAGTCCATACTGAAATCGCCAATGTGCTCGTGCTTGCCGTCACCAAAACTCGTGTAGCGCAGCTCCAAATTCACCCAGAAAAACGCCCCTTGCCGTAACGACGTATGAAGGTCACTTCCGTCGACAGCTACGCGCGTTTCACTGTACTGATCTTTTTACCCTGTGAAACTAGACTCGCAACCTTTCGATCGCACCTCGCAAGTATGCGTATTCTAACAGTTGAAACTGAAGACACCGACTAGGTGGCGCAAACCGCCGCCCTATTCGAGGTCAGCCGTATCCTTTCATTCATTTATTCACTCGTTCATACATCTATCCATGCTTCACTCTGCCGACACGCCTGCCAGATTCCACTCCCACTGCTGCACACGTCACGAAAGCTACACGCACATTTCTTTACAACAAAGCAGCACACCACTGAAAATGCGTACTCAGTGACACGTCTTAAATTTGCCGATGAAGAAAGGAGTAGATATCTATTGTTCACTTCTCTTGAAGTGAAGTTGTCTTGAACAATTTTTGTACCATAAATTACAGATGGCGGTGCACTTCCGTGGTTATCCCTCCCCCCCCCCCCCTTCCCCCACAGCCATCTATTTCTTCCCATTTCTTCTCATTCGAAAAGGATAATGCAAACTCTTCTTCAGAAAGGTCGCTCTGTGGCCGCTATATTCACTGACACATCGAAAAGAACACTAAACTGACAGCTCTCTTCATCTCATTATCACAAGATAGCCAATAAGATCAAAGCATCACTAAAAACAAATGAACAGAAACCAATAGCAAAATGACGCGATGTTGAGCCACGTCCTATATTTTCCAAGTTTGCATGCATGCAAGCTCTCGCAAGCACCGCGACCTTAACGTCATCTTCGACGTATCACAGTTTGAGTACCCTTTTAGCGTTTGCGCCGTCGGCGTTGACTCCGTTCATCGTGGCAAACCTTTGGCTCCTCGTTACCCAGAGCTCTTATCTCATTGCACACAATAACTATCATGTCGTTCTGCGCGTGATAGTTGACGTAGTTACCCTGTTTGCCGTTCATCACGACGATTGGAACCCGCGTCACTTCACTTTTGTACTTCCAGGTCGTTGCGGCGACTTGAAGTTGGTACTCCTCGCCGTGTTCCTTAAAGCAGGTGTCGATTAAGCTCCATTTGACGCCGAAGGCCGTAGCACACTTCTCGCCGGCTGTGTGTGGAGACGAGTTTTCGGACATGCATGCGACAATCTGAACGGCAGTCACGGTTTGCTTGACCACCCTCAGGACGCACGTCTCAATCTTGTTGCCCACGCACTCGCTTTCGCCGTGTTGGCAGGAGATCTTGGTTATGTTGCGGCCCGCACCATCACGTTCGGTCCTGACGTGGGCCTTGCCGAACGGTAACAGGGTTAAATTGATGTAGGGCGCAAGCTGGGTGTAGGTCGGCTGTAACTGGCTGTAGACGAGGCGTCTGCTATACGGGCATAGAGATTCGTATATAACCACCAAATCGACTTTCTTGACTTCGACGTCCACGGAAGCCTTGCGGTTTCCCTTGTTGTCTGGGTCTTTAGGCTTAACGGTCGTTTCGAGGTACTTATTGGGAATGTGTGGCTTACCAGCACCTGGCTTTGTCTTTCTAGTACTGTTTACCGGGTTCACCTTTTTGGTACTGGAAGGCTCCGTTTTTCTTGTTGTGGTGCCATGGGTACCGCCTTCTGGTGCCTTCTTCGGCGGTATTGTGGTTATTGCGGCAGTGACTGACTCGCCTGCCTTGTTGTCTCCAACACCCTCGTTCCTGTGTTCATCGCCGGAGTCGCTAAAGTCTGGCTGATTCCCCTTGTCATCTTTCTTTTTGTGGGAGGGAAAGTCCTTGCCGAGCTTGGTTCCCAGGTTCTGGTTGAGCCAGTCGTCTTCAGCACTGTCGTTGAGTGTACGGTTATACTGCAGCTCCCTGATGTTACGGTCTCCGTCGTAGACACGTCGGATCAAAAACGGAGCTAGGCACACGAGAAAGAGCGCCACAAAGATGGTGAACTTCTCCAATTTGCCATACCGTTTCTTTATAACCATCATGAAACGTGCGAAGCACCAAAGGCGAGGGAACTCATCTGGGCAGATGTTTATGCGTTCGAAAGGCTCGGAGATCGCCCGACGCCATTTCCGAGCCAAGACAATCCAATCGAAAAAAAGAAGCGGTAGTGAGTTGTGTTACGACCTGTGGCATTTCTAGCCGTCTTGTGATACGCGTAAGCGCAAAAAAAAAAGTCTCGCTTCACAACAATCAAGCCGAAAAAAATACAATCATTAAAAAAAAACATTGTTTGGAGACATGCGCGCGAGCAGATGTTGCTAGAAACAGATGTTGCTGTGCTTTGCTGCTCTTCCACGCTAACTTGAAGAGCGGGCGGTGTTTTCCCTTCTGCGTCTTAGAAGTAGCGAAAATTATGGATTTGATATGAGCGCCGCGCGTCTCCGTTATGTAAAAGCGAAGCTTAAACACCTCTTGAAAAAAAAACGAGGTGAAGTCTGCTGTATTTTGATCCCGTCAATCGGAATATCACGTTCGTTTCCCCCAAAGATGCAACTACTCAGGACAAAGCACGAAAAACCTCCGACCAGTTGTGACGACTCACTAGGATCTTTTGGCCCGCCCCGCGCGTGTCGCCTTGCCAGGCATATTTTTTCACACTCACACCAGTCGTGACGTCTCTTTCCGACCCTTTTTTGGAAATAGCAAGAGTGCGCGCGCGTACCTTTGACAGGCGCTGAAGATGCGCGAGAGCAGAGATTCCGAAAACTCATATCCTGACGTCACGCCCCGGGAAGGGTCAGCGGTACTTGAAAAATTAATTTCTGCAGCCTCCGTGCACCAAATAGAAAAATAATCTCGATATCCGTGACCCTGCAGGCCAAATGAAGCCGATATAGGTGCTTTTTTTCTCAAATGCAAAACCGCTTCAGTTTCGCTTTAAGCCGGGGTCACACTGCTTGTACATCATACAAAAGACAGTCTGCAAGCAGATTCGAACGCAAGTCACTACGAGATCCGGGCTCCGTACGCCGCACGGCAACGAGTGAAGGAGAAATTTGTCACGTGGCATTCGAACCACGGAAATTGTGGTGACTGATGTCTGGATCATGTCCTTTGTATAATGTATAAGTAGTGTCCTTTGTATACTGTATAAGTAGTGTGACCCCGTCTTTAAGATTCACAATAGATATTTCGGAAAAGTAATGTCGCAGTAAGCCTAACCACTTAAGAACTGTAGCGCTGACAGTTTGTTATATCCATTTATGATTCTGGGCCAGTATGAGCGAAGCTATGGTTTATATCATGCTTTTTATTATTTTATTATGCTATTAGTACCACCCGGGATTATGATAGGAGAAGGCACCCGGGATTATGATAGGAGAAGGCGTACTGTATATATATCTATATATAGGGGAGGCAGAGTAGTTTAGGAACAATGGACCGGGAGAATGTAATAAGTCACAGATCCGTACTTGCTATGCTAGGAGTTTATTGTATGTATTACGACAGTTTCGACGAGAGGCTCGGCTTCGTCAGGAGATGGCATACTTGTATATATATATCTTACATATATAACAAAAACCAAGCAACACACACTTCAAGAAGAAAAAATAATAAAATTTGATAAAACAATCTTATCAAATGTGTTGGCCACACTGCTTAAAAGTGTAACATATCAAACAAAACGTCACTGAGCAATAAGCCATAATGACGCAAACAGAAACGCCGGAGACAACCCATGTGACAATGAAAATAAAGGGGAAAAGATGACGTTGCGTTTTGGTACTGTTTTATCTCTCCGTGGAAAGTCGCTGAGAGCCATGTAAATGAATTTCAATAACTTTTCTTTACGCCAAATCTTGAGTTGTGATAGATTAGCTTTCGAGAACAGTGCCGGTGACGAGTTTAAGCGACGACATTTGGAAAGTTAAAACGCAAAGCGAGCCGCTGCACTTGATCCAATTTATGGCATATCAATGCATAAATCCGAAAGAGTACAGCGGCTCATTTCATCGCCAAAAAGTAAAAGGCAGGATTCTAATACTGTTCAGAACACCACGGCGTTCAGACCTCTAACGGAAGCAAGCTTTGTGGGGGTTTGTGATAGTCGCTTGTGGTAGCTAAGTCTGATCGTGATTTGAAGACCGCTTAAAGGGGTACTCCACTGGTTTTTTCATTGTCTCCTATTTGCTTGAAATTTTGCTAAACTAACCAACAAACATTGCGAAAATAGTATCCCAAATATTAGGTCAAAATATTGTTTTTTTGCAAAGTTATTGAATTTACAGTTTTGGTCCTCACCGTGTTTTTCAAGCTCGAAGTCTCTACTGGCAACAATGAAAAAGTGACGTCAATGGAAGGCAGGGGTTCACTCTTTGGGCTGTAGATTTTGTTTTAAACTGATTTGAAGCAGTTTCATGGTGTCAAATGAATGCTTGGGAAGCTCGCTGCAGTACCCACGCTCCAGCACGGAACAAATGATTGGCATATTCTATTTTTTGGCTGCTTGCTCGACTGGCAAGCCTGCCTGCCACTGACGTCACGGCACTGAAAAGTGCACGTATATTTGAATGTTGGTTTTTGCATCATTTTCATTTGCTGATTTCACAATACCTATTATGAATTTCGCGATTCTAAATAGCATACCGGAGAGAGTAAAGGCCGGGGAGTCAGAAAATATAGTTAGTTAAGGTAGCTAAAAAAATCGGTGGAGTACCGAGTTTTTTAATCTTCCATCAGTCAAGATACGATCCCCGACTGAGGTGCCAAAATTTAGTTTTCGCTCGGATTACAAATAAAATCAATTTCTGCTCGTAGGAAGAAAAAAAGAAGGAACTGGAATCATAAGCGAATTGAATCTTCTGCGCGTAATTCAGAAGCGGCACGTCAAGTCGCTGCTAAGAAACTTTGTGTGGAACGAAAATTAACATGGTTCCGAGAAGTGCACGAGATAATGAATGGTTGCCGCGTTGTTCTTATCATTGAAGGCGACTGCTTTACCATATGACCTGGTATTTCTACTGGGCCTGCATTGCACTTAGAGATGTAGGGTGGCGGCAGGCAGCTTGCCATGCGAATGTGGACACCATCCATACACTATTGTTTCGTCGAGAATGTTAACTTTGTAGCAGCATGCAGTGTGCCAGGAGGTATGTCCAGAACTGGAGCGTTGGTCGACCTCAAGTAGGCAAAGATTATTTTTAGCTTCGTTGTCATTTGTATGCGAGCGAAATCGCATTTTTTGTGATCTAAGGGAGATCGGTGGCCGAGTGGGCTAGCGCAACACCAGCTCAGAGCACGTGGAGCAAACGCTCGAGCTGTCTATGTCTATGTACGGCTCAGGTACCCACCAGCTCAGAGGACGTGCAGCGAAAGCTCGAGCTGCAGAACTCAAGGATCCTGGGTTCAATCCCCACCCCTGCCCGTTTCGATCTGGACGAGCATCGTACCGGCGTGCGGTCAATTATCACTACTGCGTGGTGCACGTAGCTTTAATAAAGAGTGTTTAGTCGTGCAGCAAATGCAATGCGAGCCGCCCTGGCCGCCCGCTTCATCCAGCCAATCCAGACCATGCTTTAGTGGCGCCCTCTCGAGCCGTCGACACGGAGTGCGGCAGCCGTGAGCGCTCGCTGAGCTCACTACCCCTCCTCTTGTTCACGGCCACTCAAGCCACGACTAGGGACGTCATGAAGGAGGTTATTTTTTCCCCTTGTTTTTGTAATCTTAATTTTCCTATAACTTTTAGAATAAAGTGAAATTCGAGAAGAAAAAAAAAAAGTTTCGCTAAATACTACGTTCAGGCAGGCGGAAGTGCACGAAGAAGACCCCAGGCAAGCGGTTGTACTGCACTGGCTAAATTGCTCATCTACAGCGAGTGACTCATCGCAACTTTGAAATGGCTGACCAACCACACGCTGTGTAAATATCCACACAACCCCAATTATTTTTGAAATCTTTGTTGTTCTCAAATGTATTTTAAGGCTACTTCTCCTGTTTTGGTTTGAAACGTTAACAAACTTGGCTGCCCGCGTCTGCGGAGGGCTGAACGAGCGTAGCTCGTTAATTTTTATGAGTGCGGGTCGTTTCCAGTTTGCAGAAGTGTTTAGGGGCATATCTCATCGACCGACATGGTTTGCAGCAAACAACTGTCGCAAGTACGCGCCTTCGGAGGCGCTGTGCGAATACTTGTTTTTTGTAGCGGGACTGGCCTAAGCCTCGCATCCCACGTTCACTATTATGATCGATCTGGCTTGATTTCTTTCTTTGGACGTGTTGATGCTGAATAAAGATGTTGGTTCCCATAAAAGCAGCCCCGCTGCTTTGTGAATGGTGCAACCGTCGTGATTGCGACCATGGTTTCAATACCGAGAATATTCCTACACAGGTAAGACTTCGCGGGCCATTTGGCTGGAGGCAACCGGGCGTTCGGCTCGCTCAAGTTATTCCAGGCGTGTTCGCGTCATTTTGCTTCGAAAGGCAAGTAGCTCTCAAGTTTTTCCGTGCAGCTGGCCTGACAAAGCGAATAATTTTACGCCACGTTTTAATTGTGCGTCATAACGCTCTCTCAAGTTACTCGCGGTTGTCATGCGAAAAAATAACAACTTAAAAGCTGAAATGATTGCATATTTATTTTCTTGCCTTCTTTTAGTCTTCTCCGTCACTTTTTACCTCATATCCACAAACACTGACAGACGCTTGTAATGGACCGCCGCCCGCGCATGATAGAACACGGGAACGCCGCTTTCATGGTCTTGTCTTGCGAGCGTTGTAAGTTTTTATACGGGGGCGAAATAGTGGATGGACGAAGGCGTTCATGTCCTTGTTCTTCGGCATGGCAGACGACGATAAACGGTGGTGAAATAGCAGAAGATGCCGGAGGCTGCCGCACGTCTCCTCACACAACTATAGTCGAAGACAGGTTAAGAATAAAATGCAAACTCCTCCCACCGCTCTCTTTATCAAAGTGAACGATGGAGAGGAGGTGACCTCTTTTCCAGGGTTCGCTCTGCTAAGGTAAAAAGAGGTGAGGAGCTTCCACTTTACTCTTAAAGGAATTGTGCAGCAATTTCAGTGCTTTGCTTAAATAATTTGGGAGTTGGTGTCTCGACCTTTCTAAAATAAAGG